GATAATGACATAAAATTTCTATGTATTACCAATGTTAAACACTTTCTATTTGTTTTTCAATGTTTTTATTATTTTTGAATGTTTCTATTAATTTTTTTAAGCTTATTCATTGAACAAATGAAATTATTTTTCATCTTTAACTAAAAACACATTTTTATCCAACTATAAATTCATGGATATAATTTATATATAAGGGTTTATATTAGGTACAGTAGCATTGTATATTTAATTTTGATATAAACGTTCAAATTTAGCTCATAGACCGTTGTAATTTGAAAAATGATCAGTATTTATAAGAGTAATATTATTTGACAAGTTACACTCTGCCATTCACATACATTTGCCACATACTTATTTTTTGAAAATTGATAATACTCTATACAGTGACTTTATATGTTTAGCTTTATATATATAAAACCAAATATATATATATATATATATATATATATATATATATATATATATATATATATATATATATATATATATATATATTGTGAATTTAGGCAGCAAGCCTTCATGTATACATGTTTCATTAAAGACAACAGACAAGGTACTATGATTAAGCTTTTTATTTAAATTTTCTTGTGATTAAACAAATGTTTTCTTTTCTGGACACAGAGTGTGTAGAAACTGTCCAAATGTTCTATAATTCTGAGTATTTTCTACTAGTATGTTGTCTGGTAAGTTTGTGCATGTGATTAAAAAAAAATAAACTCCCATTCAAGTTCATAGGTAAAGTTAAGGACAGAGTTTTTTTTCAAATGTAGTCTTGAGTGCATCTATTTCTTTAGTGTTATTTGCTAAAATAAAAATATTGTCTACATAGCAGACATATATTTTAGGTTTACAGATCAGTTTAAATATCATAGACATTCTTAGATGTTCTTGTAGAATACATTTATCACCTTATTATATAAAAACCCACTAGCAGAAACTCTTGCCACCTTAACTTTAAGAGTGAACTCAGATACAAAATAGCAGTGATAAAAATCTTCCTAAAAAGAGCACACCAGAATTCATCCTCGCGACTACTCTTCCTTAAAGAACTCAATAATGCAAAACAGACACTGATTAACAATGGCTTCCCAATCTACCTTATAGACCACCAAATTAGACGATTTTTATTTGCAAAGTAAATAACAACGATAGTGAACACACAATGAAAATAACATGAATATTTTCTAAAAAAAACAAATGCACATCAACTACAAACAAGATAAATTGTCACTTAGAAATATCATAAAGAAATACATTACCCCATTTGATCAGAACAAAAAGATCAAATTAGTTATCTACTATAAAAAATTTAAAACAGCTAACTTTATCCTCAAAATAACAACACACCGGCAAAATCAAAATTACAACAAATGAATATTATCTTGTTTGGGTCAACTGGGGTAATGTATTTCTTTATGATATTTCTAAGTGAAAATTCATCTTGGTACACAGACACACATAACAGACACAAGTTAACGATGGTTTTCCTAAATACCTAATCGACCACAAGCTTAGATTATTTCATTCCAAAAATCCTAATAACAATAGTGAACATACACACAAAAACAATAACATTAACATCTTCTACAAAAGCCAAATACATGTCAACTATAGCAAGATGGATTTTCACTTAGAAATATCATAAAAAAATACACTACCCCAGTCAACCTGAACAAGAAAATTAAATCAAAAATTTAAATGTTAAATGTTCAATTGTTATCTTCTCTCTTCTTAATTTCTGTTTTTTTTATTGTCCTTTTTCCTTAATAGTAGTTTTTCTCATATTCTCTAACACTCAGTAATCTCTTGCATCTTAGTGGCTTTATTGCCTTGCTTGTGGTGACATGATTTAAAAAAATATAGCCTACCTTAAAACTATATTTTTCTCATAAATTAAAATTAAATATGTGATAAACCCCTTCAGGAAGAAATATTCCCTTTGGCTCAAAGTAAGCTAGCAAATTAGTTTGGGAAAATCTGACTTGCAGTTGCATAAAAATCACAGAGACTGACATAGATATATCATATGTTGTATTGGGTTTCTCTTAGAGATGTTACAAGCAAAAACTCCTTTTACTGCTTGCCCTTTTAATTATGTGTTTTAATTTCCATGTATCCATTAGGTTAGGTTCCTATTTAGGATGTATGGGGATTGCACCATCCTCTACAGTTATCCAAATTGCAACTGAATCCCATACTAACTTCCATCATGAGCTAACCAAAAACTGACTATCCTCACCAATGAGCTATCACATGATCCTTAAGACATCAGTCAATTCATCTTGTCAAAAGGGAGATAATCGCATTCTGCATCCCTAAATCTTCTTCAATCTGATCTTAGCATCAAATAATAAGAAAAACATTATTCTACTTTAAAAATATATATCTTTCAATTTTACCTTGTAGGTAATTTAACATGCAAGTTAACCAAATTAACCTATCTATGCTTTTTATAAGGTTAATTCTGAACTCATTGTAGTTTGTAAATTTTAAATATTTGTAAAAAGTCAGATTTTCATATTTATAAAATCCATGCTAGTCATAGTGTCACACACTATCAGGCCATCCATCAATCTGGTGATATCCTATTAAGATGCTCTCTTGACTCATAATACTGAATTGTAATGAATCATATTCCTGAAAATATAAAATTTGTGTAATAAATTTTTCAAGCTTCATTTATTTATTTTAACTGCTGCCCTAATATTTTGCACTATCATACATAGATATAATATAACTGGAGATGAAATGAAAAAACTGACTATGACTAAATCAGTAGTACTGTTGAAATATTTTCAAGTACAAGATAAAAATAAATAATTCATTTATTTGAATACTTACTGCTAGAAATTTAAATATTTCTACCAAGGTTATCTCCCTTGATCTGTCAGGTAGGCTATTACACTCGATGCTAAATATCTGAACATGCTAAGAGTTGCATATTTTCCCACTTGTGATTAGTATTCAAGTCCAGGTAAAAGCCAGTATTTCAGGTGCTGCTGTTTACAGCATGTACATCCACTTGATGATGAAAAATGAATGCAGTACATTTTTTCTATTTTGCAATCTCATATTCAGCTTGCGTCTCATACCTTCAATAATTTGAATTACTAAATGCTCTGTGTATATCTAGAGAAACTAGTAAAAGTATTGGACAAATTTAAGTATTTACTATTCCAAGTAATAATGCATCTAATTTGATGACATCTTTATTATTGATGTAAATGTATGCTTATATAAACATGACTGACAAGATACATCTTTTCCAGCCTTTTATTATGTTTTTCCTATCAGTGAATACTTCATTAAAAATGAATAACAAGGTATGTCTTTTCAGCTTTTTATTGTTTTTCTTGTCTGCAACTAAGGGGTCTACCTTTTGATTTTAATGTATAAATTGTCCAAATGTTTGTTTCTATTAAACACTTTTGGGTAATCGCTATTTTGAAGGATTTTTTTTTATTTTATAGTTTGTAAATTTTTTTCTGAGATGTAGGCATATTTTGAATTTCCAAACATGGCTATAATGTACTGGCTAGGTTCAAAAATTAAATGTATATCTATCTCTCAGAAAATAGTTACACATCATTTACAATAAAATCGCCCCAAATCCTTGAAAATAGCTAATAATTTAACCCAAAAGCACTCAGTAGAAAAAACATTTAGACAAAAGGTAGATCTCTTGTAGAGTGAAATGTAAAAGCCTGAAAAAACAACTTGTCAGTAATCTTTAATGAAGCATTCATAGATAGAAGTGTAATAAAAAGCTGAAAAGACACTTTATCAGTCAATTTTAATAAAGCATGTATTAGAGAATGATTGCTGCCCAAATACACAAATATATATACATAGATATATCAATAAGTTTATAACATAATGATGGAAAAATCATTTATTTCTCTTTCAACATAATTTTCTTTTCTCTATTTATTGCATAGAATGAACACAAAACTGAAAATTTTACATCAAAATTCAGTTAATCGTTGTCAGACTTTAAACTTACTGATCTATCTTTATATAAGAATCATTACACTGACATTCTGGCCCTTTTTATTTGTGACTTTTTTTATTTACAATATCCTAAAGAATGCCCACTTCATTTCTGGCTCTAAATAATTTTATTTCTTGCTTGATAGTCTTACTCTTTAACAGGTATTAATTAAATCTTGCATTGATTCTATTAAACACTATTTTATCTTCACTCTGTGTAACAGGGCACAAAACATGTTTAAACATTTAATTGCATGAAATTACAGGAAGTTATTTTGGAGGGACTACTAATTGGATAATAATTATCAAAATTCTCAGGAAAGTAGGTTGAATAGTTAAGAAAAAAATGAAAAATCATTGAAATAAATATATTTTGTTACGATGACCAATGTATTTTTATTAAATATTATTAATGAAACACAATATACAATTATTAATGAAACAGATATGAATGGGTAGATGGAAACTTTATACTCATTTCCATCATTTTTCCATTCTGTTAATAAACCAACTTAAAATAGAATTCAATCAGCTAATAATTTACATAAAAAGATAAAATTTATAAATAATTTTAAAACTTTTTCAAATTATCATATTGCAAAGTTTAATTTTTCTAAAATCTATAATTTATTTAAATTTTAATAATGGTTTCCTTGTTTTCTGAGCACACCTGTCTGCTAGCCAAATCCTGTTGCTCAGGCACATTTGTGTTCATTCAACACCCACAGGGCCCACCTGCAGTTTATACAGCAACTATGCTGACTTTAGTCACACTTCTGGAAGAGAGTGCATAATCTGACATGATCATCAGTTTGAACAATGCCAGTTAAGTTCAAACCCTTGGTCACAATGACTAGTGACATCATATTTGCACTACCATTGGAGGATTCCGAACAGGTCTGTCTACCCAGCAAAGCTTGGGTCAACCAGTGCTAGTTTCCAGGCACTTTCCAAAGGTGCCTCACACTTGGATCACCTTCCCAGACCAATGACATTAAAAAATCATCATGTTAAAACACTGATTCCCATATGATCACTGAAGTTAAGCAATGTTGAGCTTGGTCAATAGCTAGATGGGTGACCGCTTGGGAATACCAGTTGCTGTGATGTGCAGATGGCGTAATGATTAATGGTTTGGAATTGTAAATCAGTTCCAATTCCAGTTGGGTTTGTTATATTCCATTAGGCACAAATACCCCCTTGGGAAAGGTATGAATCCACCTCTTCTCACCCTCAGCTATGGGTTAATTAGTAAAACTTGTATCACTAAACCATTATCATCATCCAAAAATAAATTAAAAAGTTGCATACAAAATATTTAGATTTAGGCATTAAATAACCCATAGAGGTTATTTTTTGTCAGATGCAATATGAACCCAGTTGTCTTTGTCATCACCTCAATAGAAAGACTGGGAAAAAATTGATATAGACACAAGTAAGTGGAGAGAAGAGTTTCCCCTTGACAGAGATGAATAGATGGTAGTATCCTCCTTGAGTCTAGCCACAATGAGAATGAAAGTTAAGTGTGTGCTTTTATACAGGCTGCCATATCTGTCCATCCACCAAAATTTCATATTTCCTATTGTCCTGAAATCAAAATCTGGTTATATTGATCACCTTAAATCAATGCATTTACAATCTTGATAGCCTTCCTCTAACCAAGACTAGCTGAAAATTTGTGATAAAATCTTTAACTCCAGTCCATGTCTGAAGAAACATGATCCAATAAATCCTGTTATGGTGACCTCCTTTGGACATCATTTATGCTTCAAGCCATGTAAATTCTCTGCTGGAATAAAGAGCCACTTTAGAGTCTATACTCATTTATGAGGTGAAAACTATTTCAATGATGTACAATGAGACATCAATCATTTGTAAAGATCCTACAATCATCACATAAAAAATATCAGTACATATGCCAATTTTTCATATGGATAACCTTAATAGCCATAAATATTTCTCCAGAGTACTGTTTTTTTTTTAATAATCATTTTACCCCAAGGAAGGCAATAATACCACTAAGACACAAATCAATAAAATAAATTTTTTAAAATAACAGCTTTGTGATTCATTTCCAGTCTGGTATTTTGTGATCTTTATAAAAAGGAAAAAAAAAAAAAAAACAATTTTAGAATGTTTAGTTATTCAAATAATGCTATTTTTTTTTTTGCTTTGGGAGTGGTAACTATCTTAGCATTTAGATTACAGCTTAGGAGTAAATGGAAGAAAGCCATGTAAAAAGTGAAATAAACAAGGTTGACATTTTGTAATAGAAAGTTTTGAAAAATATAATAAACATAAATTATAATATATAACATGCCATATATGAAATAAATAAATGGTAAATTCTGTGTGTCCATCCACATATCTGAAACCCCCCTAACTCAGGCCACACTTGCTCTACATAGACATATATTGTCTTGGAATCAGGCTGATCCCACGATTGAAAATCTGCTTTTTATCTGGTACTTGAATATCTAGTATTAAGATTTATATCCAGTTGAGGAAGGAACAGTTAAAAATTCAAATTTTAGAATAACTGAAAAAAAATTAATGATTTTACAGGTTATTAATTTATATTGAGTTTAAAATAACACAGAAACTTTGTGGATTTAAACATTTCTGTTTTAAATTCAGTTTAAAATATTTACAAAACTTTGTGAATTGAGAAAATCAATTTTATTTCTTCAAAATGCCAAGGAATCAGAGTTAAAGGTTTCATGACATGAGGTTTTGAAGTTCTGCAGAGTTTGTGATTTGAACAACTCAACTCAATTGAAGTTCCATGCAGTGTGATTTGAAGAACTCGATTTTCAGCCTGAATAGGAATTTCAGCCCAAATATGTCTTTTAGCTGGAATTGGACTTATAGTCCAAATCAGAGTTCAAGTGAGATTTTTAAGTTCATGGAGTGAATTAGGAAATTCAGTTATTTAAGTTATTTCTTCAAAATTATCATTGCTGTTTTCTAAGCTGGACCAGAGGCCTTTTTAGTTGTGGGCTGATTGCCCAATTAGCCCTCCACAGGAACTAGCTTAAAAGTCCACATTTAGACCTATCAAACTGCTTTAATTATATTTTAATTTTGTTACATAGCACAACAGGTAGAGGGACTTGGTCTGCACCATATTGGGTGCCAGTGTCAGAGTACAAAATAATTTTTTTTTAAATTACAGATAGTTTTGAAAAGCAAACTAGGAAAAAGACATTCATTTTGCAGTGGCCGTGACTGTTATATATCAAAGAGGAAGGATTGTTTGGAAATTACTGGACACTTAACCAATCAATAAAACTTAATGAATAAATACTCTATTATGTCTCAAGTTGTAAAGCATAACTTAATATGTAAAGAAAAGTATTGCAGTCAAAATTTATTTGTAAAATTCTCATACTTTGAACAATGGTTAAAAAAAAAATTAAAAGCACTTTAGAAAAATGGTGAAAATATTGTTTATTATAAAAGGTTTATACATGTAAAAATATCTGGAACATTGTGGAGAATGACTTAACTGTTGAACAATTTTCAAGTTTCTGCTTTACTTCAGTATGACACCAATCTCAAAACAAAACACTGATCTTTTTTTCTCATCTACCATTTTCCATTTAGCAACCAAGGTAATCTGAAAGCAAAAATGATAAAATAATGGATTCACTAACAATGCTGTAGAGAAAAATACTATTTAATTAAAAGAAAGATTCACTTCAGAAAAGAACCTTGCTTGTATGTAGCCTAATGCATGACACCATTATAAAGCACAGACATCAAAAAGACAAGATGTAGAAAATTAATTTAAAAAAGAAATAAAATAACTAACATCTAGAATGACAGCTGCCCTCCCCCGACACATACACACACAACATTTCAGATCTTGGTAAGTGTTTAACCAAATCCTTTTTAATGAGTTTTAAGTGAACACTGAGGTCAACACTAAGCAGTGATAGTGTTTCTTGAATGTAATCTTCAGGCCTCAGTTTCCACTTTTACATTTACATATGCTCTGTGATATTGAGCACTTTTACCTATAAATATAGCTCCACCCTGCACACACACTCCTATATTCTCTTGTACAGAAAAGAAAAAAGTTTAAATAAATATTTCTTGTCTTTGGCCTTTAACTTGTATTTGTTTATCATCATCATCATCATCTAGCTTCTGTGTTTTTTGTAGTTATTCCATTTTAATCTTTTTTGTTCTTTTAATTCTATTATTCCTCAAAAGACAACATACTTGTGAACAAGAAAATACAGAATTTCTTTAATGACAAACATTGCTTTTCTACAAGGAATTCCTAGGTTTTAAGATAACAGATGATACTAAAATCCACCGATAAACTACATCTAGCAGCAAGGCCTCTGATTGGGAAATTGGAGGGTCTCAGGAGCATGGAACCACCTCTTAATTACTATTGTTACCAGGTCTACTCTGACCTGGGGTGATAGCACCTGTTAGGATCCCAGCTATGGGCAAATAGTGAACCCCAAAAAAACAAAACACTATGAAAGTATAAAAATACATTTTTATAGCAAAAATACCAGCAATACATTTTTATATAAAAAATTACCAATGAAACACATTTATAGCAGAATTATCAATAATACATTTTTAAAGCAAAATGACCAACAATATATTTTATCTGTAGTTGAAGCCATAAAAATGTTCAAAATATTTAGATTTCAGCATTAAATAACCCTATAGATATGCCACTAAACAAAACCAAACAAAAAATAGTAAAATTTGTGGGATTGATTTGGTTTGGTTTATGTCAAATTTATGTTATTTAATGCTGAATTCAGTTAAAAAGGAGAAGGCCATTATTAATACATACTTTTTCTGGGTTAATTTTTTAAGTTCTATAATGTTGTTACAAAAGTATAATGATTAATTATTTGAGAAATAATTGGCATCTCAAGTGAACTAAGTGACATAACTTTAAAGTCAGCATTGGAATGCATGTTTTCTGTTGCACATTATTTTCAACATCATTACTTTCCGATACCAATTATTATGAACATTTTGTAGTCTTTAATAAATTTTTTTTATGAACTTTTACCCGTCTTATAAAACAAAGGGAAATAACTATAGTTATGAGGAAATTTTATCTATTGTTTTGGAGTATCAATTTTTGGACTATTGTAGATAATGTTTCCAAATTCTTTAAAAATAAGTCAATAATAATAACATTTAAGCAAACAAAAATATACAACTGATGCATTTTGTGGCTTTGAACCATTACTTTTCTTAGCATCATAAAACTTTATGATTTCTAATCAAAGTTATTACAAAACATACTTACCTTTGGGTATTCAATTTTAATATCTAACTCTATGTGATAAGTTGCAGATACATTGGGTTTTAGAGGACATGTCAAACCACTGTTTTTGCAGCCATCAGGATTTGGAATGGGGAAAGGAACCTTGACCAAATTCCAAAGTCCCCAAACATTGACTGTTGTGTTTTTGATTTCAACCTCTGAAATTTATAAAATAAATATTTAAAGAAAATAATAAAAACTAAATTTCTTAAATAACAAAGCAAAAACACTATAGTGGTGATGAAAGATGTAAAAGAAAAAAATTAAAAACAAATAATTGCTGGGTGAAGGTGAAATCCTGTGCCAAATTGCTATTACCACCATTACTGATAACAGTACCCACCCCCATTGGGTGAAGTGGGATATTGGAGTAAAATGACTTTCCAAAATGCAAACCACTGGAGTTAAAACCAAAGGCCCCAGGACTGAAAGACCAGTTCTTTAAGCCATTCAACCAAGGTAGCCTTTTGATGGAATAAGCCAATATGATAATTCACCACATACCATCTACTCTTTATTATAGTCAATGATATTTGAGCTGTGACAGATTCTGAGGTGTGTGTATTTTGTCAGATACCACAATACTTGGAGAAATATAATCTATGCAAAATTTGATTTTATTCAACAAAAATTTACAAAATTGAAGATAAATAGTTCAAGCCATAATATTAATCCAACATTAATTATAGGTTTATTAATATTCAGGGGGTTTATTATTAGATTTTTAATTGTTCATAGCATTAACTTTAAAGAATTTCAAGTCTTGAAAAAATGGAGCTTGGAGATGAAAGCAT